GCCTGCACAGTGCCTCTCTTCTATCTCAGTGCGAAGTCTAAGGGTTAGTTTAAACAAGGTGGCTTGATGTAAGCCATCTGCCTGCATGTGTCATGAGATATAGGCTGCTTACACAGCCAGTTACTGGGTCTCAACTGAGAGGCAAGACAAAGCAGCTTCCTAAACTCTCTCTAAATTGTAAGCCTTCAGTCTATAACCTTTTTTATCGACAAAGAGTAAATGAAAATTTTCATCACAGGCACGAACACTGCTATGTCTCATCAAGGTTTCCTGACCGTCAGCACATACCCACGGAGGAGTCATAGCAGGGGTGCCTGGCTCAAGTTCACAGCTGCGGTAACATCACTGTCAGAGTGGCACTGTCAATCTAATCTGAAGATTTCCCAAGGAGCAAATTCTAGATAGGTTAGACTGCTGCTTGGCTTCTGTGATCAGGTTCTGAACATCCTACCCCCAGATTTAATGCAAATAACCCTAACAGCTGGCATAACAAGGAATCACAGCATACCAGAACTAAACTGCGGCACTAGCACAATGCCTGCTGATGATGTTACAAATACCAGAATTAAAATACCTCCAGGTAGTACAAAGCCAACTTTAAAACACTCAAAGTCTGCTTTCTAAGCTTTTTAATCTATCTTCCAGCATCAGCTATAGACCCCTCAGTTAGCTTCAAGTTCTGTATCAGTGCTCAGACCAATACACAGCAAGAAAAATCTTACTACTCTTCTGAAAACTCAGCAAGAGATGGTAGGGTATACTTTAAAAAAAGTGACAACCAAACAACCAAAACCATGCAGGTATAACTGTGCCATGGAGTTTTAGGGAACACAAAATCCCTCTTGCCCCACAAAGAGCTGACATTAAGCCCAGAGGAGTGTTTAATACCAAGATATTAGAAAAGTTTTCCATATTCCACAGTTTGATAGACTTCGTTGTAGACTATCCTTTCTATTTTCCTCCTTCCACTTCCTCCGTAAGTTGCATGTTATTAAGTTAGAAGAGTTTTTACAGCTCTACACTGAAGCAAGCAACCATGACTATTTTCAAATCATGGATAAAAGGTCGAATTAGAAGAAAGGGAGGTTGATCTAAAAGGAAAAAAAAAAACCTGACCTGGAAAATTCATCTAAGAAAAAGTCACCCATTCAGGACTTCCGAAGAAGAAAGAAAAACCACAGCAAGCAGCAGGTTACCAGAGAACAAGAGAAATCTAGTCACTAAAATCTACCTTAAAAAGAAGATAGAGGGCTTCACATCTTAAAACTCATACAACATGAATCCTCACAAACACATGAAAAACTCTTAAAATCCACAACTGGGGAAAAAAAGAGCACACTTACTTTTAGTAGAGGAATTCAAAAAAGGCCCCTATTTATGGTTAAGGGAGCAGTATTTCACCTGCACTCACAAGTTTACTAGACTGATCACTGCAAGGAGGAAAAGTGCTGATCAGCATCTGCCACTGCAAACTTACAATGCAAGCCAAGAACAAACTTTTGAGAAAGTTGGAAAGTTGTCACACACAGAGAACAGACCTTTATGAAAAGCGCCATTGTTCAGGGTCTTGGGAATCTGCTGACATGAAGAGAAGGAATTATGTTGATGAGTTAGCTGCAGGGATACTTGTCTGGTAGGTTGAACCAAAAAGATCAAGCTTAAAACAACTTGTAGTATTGACTGAATTCCCTTGTTTAAGGCTCTGCCATAAACTAGCTGATAGCTATATAGCATAGTCTGCCTGATTCCTTTATGGCAGACCTGCTTAGTTTTATAAAACACAAGGGAAGAAAAACTGTGGCAGAAATACCCCCACACAATGATAACTGAAGTGTTGGCAGTTTTCACAGGTTTTAAAGAACAAAGTAAAAATTCTGACCATGTCAAAGGCTGCATCTAGAAGCTTTGACATTCCTCTTCACTCCCCTTATTAGCTAATTACCTCCAACAGTAAGTGTGCTTATAAAATGGGTATAGTGTTGCATACCTGCTACTTAAAAAACATGAAGCAGCTGAATTCAAGCCCTTCCTAAAAGCTTTTCATAACTTTCAGAGGTACTGCTAACAGTACACATGGAATTAACACGCTTTGTACAAGCTCTGCCTATAGGTATATATGCATTTGTCATAAGACAAGAGTAGTCTTAGACACAATCCTACAATAGGAGAAATACATACATTTCAGCTGATTAGCAAAACTGAAGATCTTACTTCTATTCTGCTCTCACAAAGCATGTTTGAAACTGCAATCTTCCTATTCACTAGTGTCCTTATTTCACAAAACAGCAAAATCTAGAAGCAAACCTAGCAGCCTAAAACTTGGATTGTAGAGCTTTTACTGATAAGTCAATCTTTCACAATTCCCACAGCAAAGGGGATTATTATAATACTTTTCTAAAAACCTTCCAAGTGACCAGTTTTAAAAGAAAAGACATTAAAATAAATAAATAAATGGGTTATTTCTAAAGAGAATTACTCTACAGCATTGGTATTTTCTAGATTTGTTTGATTGAACACTCTCTCTGCAGGTGGGGAAAAAAATCATGAACTTTAAAGAAGAAATAACAAATAAATCTATGCATAAGTCTGCCCAAAGGAGAGCAGTTAAAGGAAACAAGAAGAATTTCAGTAAACATCTGGAGCCTGTATATTTCTGTATACCACTATCCTTGCAAAAACCTCAGCCTAGCTAATGAAAAATTATGCAGTAGCTCAGGCTGGCAGAAGCCAAACTATCCAGCTAATTAGGGCTTAAGTCCCTTCTTAGCAAAAAAACTATTAGCCCACTCCAGTCCCTTGTCTAAAAATGCACCTTCACCACATTGCAACAAACCTCACCTTCATTAATAAAGAACCAACTGAACATTTAAGGGGGAGGCTTGAAGGTACTGGTTGGCAGAATAAATCTATAAATGGCAGTGTGCTAGGCAAAGGGATTATGCTCCCTGCTTCCAACAGACTGGCAAGAGAGTCCAGTTTATGACTGATTTCTATAAAAGGTATTGAATTGGTTAATCATGGGGTGGGAGAGGGATCATAATAAGATTATATATGACTTAATTAAACCCCGCAGCAAATTATGACAGTCTCATCAAAGAGTAAGATACGGGGCAAAGAAACCAAAAGAATCAAGTACTCTCAGTTCTTACAAAGTATCCTTTAAGGATAAAAACACTGGAGAGTAGTTTCTGGAAGTTCATCTTCCACAATAAGAATTTTTCACTAAGAGGGTGGCGAGACACTTGTTGCCCAAGAGAACATGTTGCCAGAAAAACTGTGGCTGCCCCAGCTGTGGCAGTGTGCAAGGCCAGGTTGGACTGAACTTTAGCAACCTGGTCTAGTGGAAAGTGTCCCTGTCCATGGCAGGGGGTTGGAACAACGTGATCTCTAAGGTCCCTTCCAACATAAACCATTCTATGTTTCTATAATAACAGATTTTTAATTTTTTTTTCTCCTTTCCAGTTCTATGAAAAGAACCTCTGGGGGGAAAGATGATCTTAAGGACCTTTCCAACCCTAACTACTCTATGATTTATGATTCTATGAAAATAGTACTTGTGTATGCTATGCAGTGTTCCAGTCAAGTAGAAAATAGTCATGTTTCGTTAAAAAAAAACCCAAAAAAACCCAAAAAACCAACTACTGCAAAGTTTTCTTATCTTACTGTCACACTTGTGCTCTGTATACTAACACACGTCTACAAGGTGCTACCAATACAGCACTGCAAGTAACAGCAGTTAATGCTTTTCGACAGGAGGAGGGGATTTCTTTCTATCCAAGATTAAACCATTTAATAATGCATGAGTTGTACCAGATGTTGGTAGAAACCAACATGAGTTGTACCAGATGTTGGTAGACAATCAAGAGAACATTAACTGTTAGAACAAACAAGTCCTCTGACATTTGGAAGTTGTCTCACTTGAAATACAGAATTAAAACTGGCACTGGCCTTAGAATCCCTTCTGGGAAAGTGACAATTCTATCCATAAAGGACCTGTAGGAATAAGACACACCTACCTAGTACAAAACACCTAGTGTCCTCAGCCTTCTGCACAGGGACAGAAGGAAGTTGAATGCAGGGAACCTCACACCTCCTGCTTTCCCAGCTGCCAGCCAGTGCAAGAACCTGTGGATTCTAAAAGCTCCTGACAATACAGATCACCCTCTGTGTCCTCTGCTTTTTAGCTAACTGCACCAGTCTTCATCTTCCCTTCTGCTGCTTCAGTCTCTTCATTCCTTCTTCACCACATGCTTTCCCCTCTTCCTGTCTTGTTTCAATTGTCCCCTTGTTTCACTCTTCCACATCTGCTTATCCTTTCATTTCTCCCGTCATTAAAGTGAGGCTACAGTAAAAACTGTAATTAAAATTACTTCCAGCAGGGTGTCTTTCAACCTGCATTGTGGCATCAACATCCAGCTACAGGACTCCACATCCAGCCTGGATTCAGAGAGAAGCCACAGTACTGAAAATTGACCATGATGCAGGTGCCTCAGCTGCAGAACATGTCAAAGCCAACTATGTACAAGAGTTATGTTTGTCTTACAAAGCTTACACTCTTGCTTTCCTCCTCACTGTGCCTTATTAGAGCATAAGTTATTTTGAGGCAGTGATTCCAGGCTACCTGTTTTGCAACATGAGTGCATACTCAGGCCACATTATAACTGCAAAACAACTACAATGAATAAGAACAAGTCATATGACAAGTGACAAACTTTGAAGATTTGCTCTTACAGTTAGCCAGAAAATTTTTCCCTTAAAAAAAAAAAAAAGTAAAAATCCAGCCTGTCTGCTGAATTGTGGCTTCTTCCTCAATTAAACAAAAAAGTTACATTCTGAGTTTCACTTTCAGGACTTTCTTGAGTAGAGAAGAGACAAGGTTTTTGAGAAGTTTAAGTGAAGGGAACAAGGACTCCACTCCATCTGACTACAAAACAAGACAGCATTCATTTCTTCCAATGATAATAATTTCTCACAGTTTGAATGTAACAGTTCACCCTTACCTCAACTTTGCTTCCTGGATCATGATCTGCGGCAGCAAAGTAGACCACCTCCTGTACTTCATCCCTTGGCCGTGCAGAGTTCTTTCCGAACACCACCAGCCCATCTTTAGAACATGGGGGAAAGGCTACAAAACAGTAACTTGGGGGAGCTGCAGCCATCCTGGAAAGGAAAAGAAGAGTAAACAAACAAAACTAGTGTTTGCTGAATTCATAACTGCATGCACTAGAGAATCCTTCAGTCTACTACTACTTATTGTAGCTAAGAGATAATGCATTCCCTCTGTCTGTCACTTGATTGTCCAATGATAATAGAAGATCAGCCCACAGGAAGCTTATCTGGATTTAACAAAAAAAATATATAGCAATTTTCAGACATTTTTCAGCCAAAGCTTGTGAAGGAATAACAAAGAGGAAAAAAGATAACTGTACCTTAATAAGCCTACTCAGCCCCCACACGAAGAAGATATTCTGCACCGGAGCTGTTCAGGAACACATGACCTAGATGTATTCTGCTGACTCAGGCAAATGCAGAGACACACAGTAACTTTAAATAATTTACTCTCTGCTCCCATGCAGTTTGGTATTTTAAAAAAGGAAGGAGAAAACATGTTTGAGGGATTCCTGAAGGAGGACAGTGTTGTAACTGTAAACTGAACAAAGACATCATAACACAATTATATCAAAACCTGTCAATTTATCTACTCTGATCAGAGAAAGCCTGAAGCACTAACTGCATTTTATTTTCTCTGTGGTTTGCCTGCATTGCTGCTCTTACCTAAAGCTAACCAACTGCAGTTTATTTGTGTATGCAAGCTAATGTGAATACTCTTTAACATGCTTCCAGAGTAACACAAATATTTTAAGATTTTAAGTGTTTCCAATGACAATATATAAATAAAAAATGTAAACTGTTTCAGGCTTACAACACTACTGTAGGAAGTATTGTGTGTATTGCCATTTTTTCCACCATTCAGGAAAACTTTTGACACATTTAAAAGCAAACCAATACAATTAAAAGTTACCCCCAAAAGCTGCTGATTTATTTGAAAGACAAAGGGGGGGGAGGGTATGAAAAGCTGGTTTGATCATTAACCTGCACATCTTTCAAACCATTCAAATTTGACCTTTTATTTTTTTTTAAGCAGTACCATTTCAGCACACACTTCTCACAGGACAGCAGGCCTCCAGCACTAACCCAAAGAAAGAATACCTTTTGGATAAAGGTGATAACCCATAAAGTCATAATCAACTGTGAAGAACACACTTAAAGGTTTGCCTATAGATTATGAACAGATCACACAGATGCTAAATCTTGCAAAAAACAGCTTCAAGAGAAGATGAGTGTCAAAGGTGTCCTCTACCAACACAATGTGGCATGATGAATTGTCTAGAGAACTGACATGACCTTTTAATTTAGGTAAGATTATGTAAAAGAATAATCTGCCAGTAGAGTTGGAAGTGCATTAGGAAACAAACCAATCCCTTTTCACAACCAGAGTTTTGACCAGTGGGAAAAGATAAGCTACTATAAACTGGAATGGCTTCAGCTGATAGAATACATCCAGCAGAGGACACGTATCTGTAGACTTGCATATTGTATCACTGTCAGTACACTTGTTTTAGATGAGTGTCTTGCAGACAGACAAGAAGACAAAGTCCCACGTCAATTACCACTCTTACCACTTGTGAGTCATCAAACCATTTGTGATTAAACTGAAATGCAACATGTAGAGTGTTGCCCAAGCCTCAATACTAATGAAATCATGTAGTGTGTTGTTATGAATTATTCAGAGTATGTACATTTATTTTGCTGTGTTGGCGATGTCAACATAACTGCTTTCCAGCACCCTGAGAAGCCACATCTACCGTCAGGTAAGTCATCATTTAGTGCTCTAAATTTATCTTTTGATGCCTTGCCAGACCAGGCAAAATCTTGAATAACTTGCAGGCTTACTGTAGATCTCAGTTCTTGAAAGAAATATTTTCTTTATTCTAAACACAAGCTAAGTAGATTTCTTTGAAATGCATATGGCAGCTGAAAGACATTAGACACGCAACAGCCTAGAGAGAAAGTTTAGAGTATTAAAGTACTAATTTTTATTACATGAAGTTGTAAGTAGGCTTAAAAAGATGGGAGGGAAGACTTCATCACTGTATTACTGAATGAATTGAAAGGTATGCAAGGCAGACTTTCCTCGTATGCGAACTTTCCCTGTAGGGCAAACATACCTACAGACTAAAGTAGGCAGGGAAAAGAATTAAAAACTTGTATCTAATGTTTTACAAACTTCTGAAGTCCTCCTTGGAATAAAGCAGCCTCAATTGTACTTGTGAGGATTCTTTTTATTTTTGTAATAAATATACCAACAGTTACTAAACAAAAAACAAACTGCCATTCTGGTAACACTTTTAAAGTACAAAAGTATGAGTAAACTACACTGTAACTAGAGTTCACTTCAACATACAGTGTATTTCATATTGGGGGGTATATAACAAGCAAGCTGAATGTTACAACCTTATACTGAAAACACGCTTGTCATAAGAGTTAGTGCTGAGACCAAAATCACATTTCTAGAGAAGAAAGCTAGCTAGCAGTCTACTACAGTTTAACTCTATTCAGTTTGCTAGGTAGCAGTTTTTCCTAGAACCTCATTTGGTTCAATTTCAATATGGTAAGGATGGCAGTTTCTCAGATACACCCACAGCTTGCTCAAAGAACTACTGAACTTCATCTTCCATAACTTAACTAAAGCAGTCTATTAGCAGCCACCTATCTAAGCAGGACATTTGTACTTGCCTACTTAACTTCTTTTTCCTTAGTTCAGGTTGCCCTCATTCTCAGTTTCACACATTTGGCACCTCTTTGCCCTCTCACATGGTACCATCCTGACTCAATACCAAACAAGCATTTTTCATCTACAAGAGGAACAGAATACTCCTCCTTCACAGTACCTCTGATAAATCAGGCTAATTTACAAAACCACCTACTGTTAATCCCTACTCTTTCTTCACAGATTATTTACTCCTCCAACGAAAGGCAACCCTGAAAACCTTAGAAATCACTGGGAATAACTGTAAATAGATCTCAAAGAACACCCATTCACACAGTTCACTACCACAGTGCATGTTAGCATACAGGCCTGATCTTCTCCTACATGTTGGTGCAGACGAAGGTAAATCTACACTGTATGTAAACAGGCCCTGCAGACCATTACATTCATGGATGGGCCACTGCAACTTAAGAGGAACAGGGACCATACAGTCTATATACAAAACCATTCTACATATGAAAGCAGTAGAAATAGACAAAGAGCTGTATGTTATGCTATGCCACAATGCAATGCTGCTGCAGCTTACATAGTTAACAGACACCACGCTCAGCTGACCTAGAATCACTTTCCACAAAGGTTGCAAAACCAGCTCTGAGCAACAGCCACAAGGTAATACACTCCACTTGCCATCTTTTTACTTGATAAAAACGTACTGCAGCTGGGATGCAATATTATATGTGGCCATATTTTTTCCGGTCTTCTGGTCACTATAGCACTTAGCTTAGTTTGTGTTCTGACACTATGAAAAAGTTCTGTTTAACAAGTTCCTTGATTAAGAAAGATCATCTCTCGTTGTGCTAAATCTCATTTAGAGGCTGCCAAGCCAAATTAATTCTATGAACAAATAACCATTACTATCAGTGGTAAAACACATGGGCACTGGGCAACATCTGGCTCCAAACATCACCTAGTGAAACAACAGGTATGACAATTACAAAGGCTTTATAAACATGTGTGAACACGACCATACTCCTGAAATAGGGTGAAACTGGAAGTGCTATTTTCTAGTACCACCTCAAGAAAACTAACCCACAGATCTTGATAGACACAAAAAGCTAATCTTTCAGTTGAAAATACCAAGATACAGAACACTTCATTTTAGAGTATTTTCCATTCCACAATATGAGGATATTACAAATGCCAACGTGTATTAAGACGGGTCACAAAATCTAATTAGAACAACTTGCACTATTAGTGTCAAAATCTGTCCTCAACCAGACTTCTGGAGTGGTCAACAAGGAAAAAAATTGTTATTCTTTAAGTCTGTACATATGGGTTGTGACATAATCTAATAAAAGCTTCATTTAGATGTCATTTTTCAGTTATAAAAAAAGAAATAGACAAATAGTTCTGTTATAGCAACAGACATGGAGGAAAATTGCAGTATCCCATCCTTCCCTGATGAACACAGCTGCCAGAGACGGAAGCCACACTCCCAGAAGAATTGGAATGGGCATAAATTATTCAGTGTGTTTTGGAACCTTCTCCCCACCAGCCCGACCCCGGAAAACTCAAATAGCTGTCTATCCACAGCAAAGCACTCTGAGCTTAGCAAGTCAGAGACCAGACTGGAGACAGGAAGATTTTCATACCAACTTGCTCAAGCCTTTCTTGTTTTCCTGGGTGGGTTTTTTTCTCAGAATAACGTTATGTACTGCTTCTCCAAAGGCTGCAATTTGGTACTGAAATAACCTTTTATAAAGTTCAAGAATTTGACTGCTACAATAAAATAACTTCTAAGAAAAATAGCTTCATCCTCCCATATCAAATACATGTCCTCTTTTCAATCCAACTAATTTCCCGTGTTTGCCAAAATACCCTGAAGACATTAAGCACGAAGTAGATATTAGTATTATGAAGTTACAAATTAGGTGAAGACTGGCTTGCCAACAGTAGCTTTCACAGTTGCTATGTCTTACTTACAACGTTGATTTTTTTTTTTAATATTAGATTTTGAAGCTCTTCTAATAACTTATTGTTCAAGCAATTCCAAAGCTTATTTCTAAAACAGTAAAACTGGTTTTGCCAACAGCAAGTTCTTTTCTCTGTCCTTTCTTTCAATTGGAAAACAAAACAATAGGCTTATAATGAAAATGGAGCACCTACTAGAAAGCACTGGGTAATAAAAAAGATTAGTGTGAAAAAACAGGGTCAAAAAAAGGGTCTATCTTGACACTGAATTCATGCTTATTGAGCTGAACCAATATTGACTCTGCACACCTTTTTAACTGCTGCTAACTTAATACCCTGCAACTTTATCTCAAGAAAAGCTAAAGATGCCCCTAATGTCATATATAAAAACCCTTTGGTTTTAACACAAGTTAGGTT